TTTGTTTCACTCTTATTAACTACAGTCAGTAAACGAAGACCAAACCTTGGCTACAGATCATGGTTTGCTGGCATGAAACAAACCATGATTCCTGATTTGGACAGAACGCTAAGCTAGGGGCCATGATCTGTTTCCTCCCACTGCAAATAGGAAACAGCAAAGCAGTTCAGTCTGGTGTATTCGTGGCAAACCATTAACTGTGGTTTACCATGGTGTGCGAACTAGGTCAATGAGTCAACATATGCAGTGAAGGTGAGAAAGGGGCCAAAATGTTCTTTTATAATACTACAATTAGCCAAATCCATACAGGCAACTCCCTGTTTACACAGGGGTTGTGTTCCGGGTCATTGTGCACCTGCAAGAAATTGCAGGCTTTTTCAATGGATGTTCCGATTATACACAAACAACCTGTTCTGCCCCTGCCCCAACCCATTCTGCCTCTTTTTTGTGATGTTTTTGGGTGACTTCCAGGTTCGGTGTGATACACATGTATGCATGTGTGCGTCATGCACATATTGGACGTGCCTAAAATGGTTGCTGTGTTATACCATATTAATTTCTCTGTAGACACAGTTCTGTAGATCAAAAATAAACAGGAATTAAGCTGTTATACTATGAAATGTGACTGATTCCCCTGCTCTCGTTCTAGTCAAGCAGAACATTTCTTTTGACCATTGCAGTCAGGCCAAATACCGTATTTTAACCTATTTGCCACCACAATCTCTCTCCACAGCCCAACGTAGACTGCCTTGGTCGCTTCTGTCAAAATGAGGACAGGCTTCACGGAAGGAACAAAGGCCTCTCTCCCTTTTAGACATTGTGTCCTTCTGGAAAAAAGAGAGAAGGGGCCCTCCTCAGGTAATTAATGCCCTGTGATTAGTTCCTCTCTCTCTCTATTTATTCAGGAGTGGGGAGAGAGGCCCAAGAGATCTCTTCCCATATATGTGTGTGGAAGAGGGACGGGTCAAGGAGAAGGAGCAGCCTCAGAGGCAGCCATGGCATTGACAGAGCCTGTCCATTCTCTTTGGTAAGGAGGGGATCAGAGGAAATAAGCATTCCTACCCTCCTTCTGGAGAGGAATCCAGACTGGGAAATAATGGCTGGCCCACTCAGACATTCCAAAGAAATCAAGGAATACCAGCCTCTTTTCCTTCGTTTCTTCCCTTTACATATGAAGGCAAAGAGGAGGGGGAAACAGTTTGGTAATTATTATTTCTGAAAGGAGGGGTGCTCCTTTGATGATGATGATGGTGATGATGAGTCTTCCTTCATAGGAAGTTTTTTTTTAAAAAAAGCAAAACCATTCATGCCAAGGGAAGCCAGAAAAAATTTCTTCGTGGGACAGCATGAGACTCACAGGTTTGCTGAATGGGAAGCAAATATAATCCGGGGGGGGGGGCGGAAAGAAGACATAGCCCCATAACAACTCCCTTTGTAAGACACAGAAAAGGCCAAGCCATCCCATTTGAAGAAACGAAGGAAGGGGGGGGGGCTGGCTATGAATGTGTTGTTTAGAATGGAAGAGATCAGAGGGACATAAAAAGGAATATGGCTTCTCCGTTCTCAGATTAACATTGCTCAGTCTGTATTTACTGAACCTGTTTTTGTTTCACAAGGGTTGCTCTGAGGTGTGACCCAGTCGTTCATGGGGCATTAATTGTACATCTGTAACGATGAGTTTGTGTGTTTTTTAAGGGTTTGTAGGAACGGTTTTATTGTTTTCAGAACTTGCCATTTTTATTTTTGGCATTTTCTCTCATGTTTGTCTTGTTGCATACCTGTTTCAATGGCTGCAGGTTTGCAGTAACAGCAAAACACAACACTAATACTGCAACAAACAAACACACATACAGAGAGAGAGAGAGGAGAGGGAGGAAGAGAGAGACCATCATCATCACATCCCACTTGGAGTGAGTTAAAGGAATGACCTTTGGTTCGCTCCTCTATGGGGAGTCTGAGAAAATGACCCCTGACCTTTAGCTCAATGGGAGCTCAGGAGAGGTCAGGAGGAATAACTCTCACCGCAATCTCTCTCTCCACAGGAGTTTGAAGGGGGGTGGACCTCAAGAACTGAGGAGTATGTGATCAGCAAAACTTTGCAGCATTTCTGAAGAGAAAAAAGCAGGCAGAGGGGGGAGGGGAGGGGATATGTCCCTTGGGGTGGGGGTGGGAGAATCACCTACCATTGAGAAACAAGTAAACTCATTTCAAGCAAGAATATACCTCGACTCTTTGACTTGCAAATCAGGAAAAAGACAAGTGCGGGGGGGGGGGGGGAGGAGACCCAGGATGTAGTTCAAAATCAGGGTGTTCCCCTCTGAAGAGATGCAATCAAGGCTCCCAGCCATCAGGCACAATAGTTTTGCTTAAAGGAAGCAGCTCAGAATTAAGCAGAGTGCTTTTTTATTTTAATGAGGTGATCTTTCCCCCACAATTACAAAATGCCTTTGCTGAATGTAGCATCAGCTAAAGGGGGGAAATCTGGATTGTTTGATGGGGAATTATCATCAAGGGCATATGAATTAGAACTTCAAATCTCCACTATGTTTCTTTCTTTGTCTCCCAAGAGTCCATACAGAAATCAACTGGCAATACTAGCTAGATGCTCAATAATGATTTTTTTTTCAACAACAACAAAAAGACTACAGAATATACCGCACTCCAGATCTTTCCCAATCAAGCCACACAGCTGTAAAGGTCCCTGTCTTTATAGGCAAGGCTATTATTTAACAGAAACGATATCTTGCTTTCAGCAATGGTTTGATGTCTCTGCCCATTAAGTCAAAACCATGCCAGCTAAAGCAGAGGAAAATGCTCTTTAACCTCTTTCTTGCACATGTGCTCTTGCTATGTTTGCAACATCATGCTGAACCATGCAGCAGGAAGCTCCAGACTCAAACTCCTTCCTAACCCCACACAGCTGATGTTCCTGAAAACGAAGAAGAGTTTGGATTTGATATCCCGCTTTATCACTACCCAAAGGAGTCTCAAAGCGGCTAACATTCTCCTTTCCCTTCCTCCCCCACAACAAACACTCTGTGAGGTGAGTGAGGCTGAGAGACTTCAGAGAAGTGTGACTGGCCCAAGGTCACCCAGCAGCTGCATGTGGAGGAGCGGAGACGCGAACCCGGTTCCCCAGATTACGAGACTACCGCTCTTAACCACTAGTTGCTGGCTTAGATGACAAGGCGAACTTCAGATAACACTAACCATGGTTAGTTTCACAAGCCAGCTTCATAACTCACGCTTTGAAGCTGGCTTGCTTGAAGCAAACCATAGAGAATGTTGCCCATGGTTTGCCATCCCAGACGACATGGCGCCAAACATAAACAAGCCTTCTGGGGACTCCCCAGAGCTATTCAGAACCCCAGGCTAGCTGGGTTCCCAACCCAGACTTTTCTCCAACTCACTGAGAGTAACAAAGCATAATGAAATGGAGAAGGGGGAGCTTAGGGTGTTGTGTGTGGTTGGTGCCCACCCACAAACCCATCACCTTAAGTCAGTGCTTGAAACCTAATCCTGTTCAAGGCAGGCTTAACTCTTCTCGTCCTGGACTAGAAGTAGCTGGCCCATGCTCTGGTGACATTCAGATTAGATTGCTGCCATATGCTCTGGGCTTGCCCTCCTACTAACCGCCGGTCCACTGCAGTGGTGGCACTGCTTATCCACAATAAGAACAAGAACAATCTTCCTTCTCCTTCTCCTCCTCCCAGTGATGTTGCCCTTGTAGAACTCAGCAGGGAAGATGACAGGGGCAAAGCTGGAATTAATAGACTCCACCTCTCGTTAGCTCTGGCCCCACCTGCTCCAAGGTCACGGCCACTACTGGACAAAGCCAAACAACATGAAGATTGTAAGAAGATGGAAAAACAGTTGTTGTTGTTGTTTAGCCTTAACCGGACCAGGCTGCGCTGAGCAAAACACAGATTTAAGGTTGCACCAAGGGCTACTGAGGTGGAGAAATTGCAATGGGTGCTCCCCTACCAATAAATAAATGCATACATAAATAAGGAAGTCAACCGTTATTTGGATGTGTCTCTTGCCAAGCAGAACACCTGGATCCCTTGTGAAGCGAAGACCAGACTTAAATAAAAGGAAACATGGTGGCCCTTATATAAGTAATGCTGAAGTATAATTTTACGTGGCACAGGAGTGGGGGTTTTTCCTAATGGAATAACCCCTCTACTGATGATGACTTTCTTTTGGATATTCAGAAATGACTGACAGTTGCACAGAATAGTCGGGAAAGGAGATTTGTCCTTCTCTTCATCTTTTGTTTCTCTTCCTTTTATTTTCTTCTTTCCCTCCATCTTCCCCCATCTGGACTTGTAATTAGCATTTGATTTCCACAATTCCCTGCAATCTTGCATGTTCTTTTCTGAAACAGCATGTGTTCTATCTTCATGGGAAATCAAAGTGGCACCATGTTTACATTTCAGCAATGTGTGTCACAGAAATTAATTTAGCCATACGTGCACAAAGACACCTTTGAAACTGAAGGGGGGAGGGAGGGAGAGGAAAACATTAAAAGGAAGTGCCTAGCTGAGCACTATCAACATAGCGGGGACAGACAAAGGAGACTGGTGAGCATATCTGGCAAACAAAATGCACAAAGAGTTCAGGCTGCCTTGTTCTATAGTGTAGGGCCTCTCTTCTACAGTGGTAGCTCGGGTTACAGACGCTTCAGGTTATAGACTCCGCTAACCCAGAAATAGTATATTGGGTTAAGAACTTTGCTTCAGGATGAGAACAGAAATCGCGTGGCGCCAGCTGGAGGCCCCTTTAGCTAAAGTGGTGCTTCAGGTTAAGAACAGTTTCAGGTTAAGAACGGCCCTCCAGAACTTATTAAGTTCTTAACCCGAGGTACCACTGTATTTCTAAATTAGGGGTGTTGGGAAGCCTTTCTTAGTCTGGGGGTGACATTCTCTTCTGGGGTCCAAATGTCAGTTGAGGGCAGGGCCATAGGCAAAAGTAAACAGAGCTATAAATATGAAACTTACCTTTGCACAACAGGCTTGTTCCTTCACACTCACACATCGCTCCCTGCAGGAAAACAAGAGGTATAATCATAGATCAAGGACGCATTCCAGTAAAAACACTTTAGGAGGGTGCAAAGCAATTTTGTGAGGCTCAGGAAGGTGTGTTGTCTGGAAAGCAGGCTGAGGGCCAGGTAGGGAGGCCTGGGAGGCTGCATTTGCTCATCACCGACCCCCAGCCGGAGGTCCCCCATCTAAATGAACTCATTAAGAGCATAACCTAGAAATTCGTAGTTGAAATCTCAGCCTAGCCACAAACTAGGTGCCTTTGTAAGCTAGCATTTGTCACCTGCAGTCTGCGGCTCCATATGCACTATACCTTTAAGGCACACTTGAAGCACATTTTCTTCTCAAAAAATTCTGGGCACTGGAATTTGTCAAGGGTTGCTGGAAACTGTAACTCTATGGAGGGGCAAACTAAATTGCCCAGGATCCCTTGAGAGAAATAATGTGCTTCGAAAGTGCTTTAAAGGTATCATGTGTACACAGCCTCCATTACAGAACGGCATGGCCAGTGGCGGACTTTGGGCGCTCAAATTTCAGCAACGCCCTGGACAATGCTAAAAATGGGCACAAGATGTTGGACATAATATAATGATGGCTGACTGGGAACAGTTATGGACCACAGGTATGAAATTTACGGCATGTAATGCCCTAAGAGAAAATTTAATGAAAATGATTTAAAGGTGGTACATGACACCAGTTAAGCTTGAAAAAAATTACCATTTGCCCAATAATAAATGTTGGAAATGTAATGAGACTGAAGGTACATTCTTTCACCTTTGGTGGACATGCCCAAGGATTAAGACATTCTGGGAGATGATTTATAACGAAATGAAAAAGGTATTTAAATATACCTTCCTGAAGAAACTAGAGGCCTTTCTCCTGTGCATGGTCGGCCAATTGGTGCTAAAGAAGGATAGAACTTTTTTTATGTATGCAACAACAGCAGCAAGAATACTCATCGCGAAGCATTGGAAGACACAAGATTTACCCACCAGGGAAGAATGGCAGATGAAGTTGGACTATATGGAATTGGCGGAAATGACTGGCAGAATCCGAGACCAGGGAGAAGAGTCGGTGGAAGAAGACTGGAAAAAGTTTAAAGACTATTTACAGAAACATTGTAAAATTAATGAATGTTAGAAGAATGATGGAATGAAGTGATATGGCTTTAGTAGAAATGTTATAAGGAATTAAGTATAAATAGATTAATAGAGTATTAAAGGGAAAATAAGGTTAGAATGTGTTAAGATAATTATAGGATAGAAAACAGAGGAAGATGGAAAGGAATTGCTGAAACAACTAATAGAAGTGGAATACAAAAAGGGAGGTGTGAGGAGGTCATGGAAATAAGTGAATGAAAGATAAGATATTGAAATTGTTTGATGTGTTTTAAACTGTTTTTGTTTGGTTATGTTAGTTTAATGTGTCAGTGTCAGTGTTATGTAGTGTTTTGTATTGTATTGTATTGTATTGTATTGTATTGTATTGTTATTTTTTTTCTTTGTAGTGTTGTGTTTAAATTGTTGGAAAAGTAATAAATATCATTTTTTAAAAAAAAAAATTCGGCACTCACACACTCCTCTTGTAGCTCCATTCTACACCGTTCTTGCAGTGCCCCCAGTGTGGCTGAATGGGTCACACTACCCTAAAACCACCTGTGGCGTGGCCATGGTGATACCTAGCTTTGTATACATACACACACCCGCACACAGTGCAATGGGGATGAAGGGGTGGGCCATTTGAGTCTGGCTCTGCAGACCTATTTTCTGAGGCTTTGCAGATCTAGGCCTTTATTTATTTAAAATGATGGGTGGTTAGTTTGGGCCTGATTATTTAATTTTGGAATCTTTTGCCTCTTTGATACACTTCTCAGGCACCCACTGACATTCCCAAGCACTGCAAAATGGGTTATTCTAATCACATGGATCATGATAATACTTTTCTATTTTTTAAAAAAATATCTTGGTCATTAAGAAGTATTCATACTACTTTAATAAAGGAAATTCTGACATTGGAGTTCCCAATTGTATACTAAAAAAATGTAATCCCTTTCTGTCTGGTGGAGTTGCGACACATCTACAAATTGCAGTTTTCTTATAGGTTCAAGGAAACTTCTTTTATACCTCTGAAATACAGAGAGGGAGAATTTATGGGTTTCCTGTCAATTAAACAGCCTGTTGCCTAATTAAAAAACAACAACCCCAAGATAATGAATACTCCTAGGAAGTTCAGCACCAACTGAAAAAGAAGAGTGCTAATATGTTCTTGAGTGCTTTTGTTTAGTGCATATAAATTATAAATTATAACAGAGATATCAAGAACATGACGTGGACCAAGGAACAGAATATCTGGAAAAACGTTATTCAAAAGTAGGAAAGATTTTCTTCATTGAGATAACTACCCTATCTTTTCTTCTGCCTCTGCAAAACAAGAAAACAATTCCATCTATCTACCCCTGCCCTAAGCACCCCGACACACACACCCTGTTAAAAAAAAAATCCCACCACGTCCTGCCAACAGAGTCCATACCCTTCAAGGAAAAATGTATGTAACAAGGTAAGTCTGGGATAGCTCACTTGGCAGTGCATGAGACTCTTAACCTCAGGATAGTGCATTTGAGCCCCATGTTAGGCAAAATATTCCTGCATTGCAGGGGCTTGGACTACTAAATGATCCTCGTTGTCCCTTCCAACTCTACAATTCTGTGATTCGAAGATGTACTTGAAATAACCAAGTATTCCTTAGGACAGGGTTGGGGAACATTTTCCCTTCTGCAGCTTCTAAAATTAACCCATAGTCAGAACTTCTACCTGCATTGCATGATTCCTTCAAAATCCCCCAAAAGTGAGCACTGGAGAACTTTCATATATATAGTGTCTTTAAGGTGAATGTACCAGGTCAATACCTGGCAATATCACAGAAACCAGAACGAAGCCAAGAAGTATTCCACTTTTAAAAGAGCCAGGCTTTGATGATATACATTGCCCTTTGCTCCTCCTCATAAGAAGGAGGAACGTTAGTTGGAGAAAGAACATAGCTCAGCAGCAGAGCACTTATTTGCACCCAGAAGTCCGCAGGTTCAATCCCCTGTGTGTGGTGGTGGTTTTCAAAATAATAAAATAGTGGGAAATGGGAAAGAACTTTCTCTTGTCTGAGATCCTGAGGCAGCCGAGGTGGATGACAGCAGACTCAGTGAGCAAACCGCCCAATGTGGTCAAAAAGCAACTTCATAGAATAAATTACTCCCCATAATGAGGCTTATGTAACTTGATTTATAAGAGGTATCCTATTTATCCTAACACAGAGTTGCATTGAGCGTTGGTCATACTCAGACATGGGGGCAGCCGCCCACCCCGCAGCATCAAATAAATAAAGAAATAATATTTAACTAAAAGTAGGAATAATCAGAATATTTGAAACTGAAATGCTTGGGTGATGTTGTGGCGCATTCAAGGAACGCAACTGGCAGCTCGGTAGCTCGGTTCTGGAACTGGTTAGGTGGGAGCCCTGCCCTCCCAACATAAATACTGGTTACGACCCACTGAAATCAATGAATACGACTAACTTAATTTCAATGGGTCTACTCTTGAGTATAACTTAGTTGGGTACAACCTACACATTTTTTATCTTTGAGTAAAGCAACAATACTGTACATTACAATGTATCACACCACAGTTCTGCGCTATTAAATAAAGCTATTAAATAAAATTAAACTATTCTTCAAATAGCTTAATGCTGTTCAAACCCTCAGTGTGCTAGTGATCTGTTCACTGGGAGCAGATGAATTTTGAAGCCCACAAAGCAAAAGATAAAAACACCTATTTTAGGGTCATGTAAAAATGCATAGCAATGTTGGGTTGAGTTTCTTCTTCTTCTTCTTCTTCTTATATTGTATTTTACACCAATGGCTTCCTTGGAGCCATTATGGCTTAAGGAGATCAATTCAGCTTTGGGGCTGCATCGCTTTCTAATTTCCAGAAACACATTTTATTTATCTGAAAGACCATATGGCTTATCGGGTAACTGTGTATACAGTATAGCTACAACAAATCCACAAGGAAGATAATATTTACCTAATAGACCATAACAGCACAGAATAACACAATATGGCCCCCTATTTGATTGTGCATTTCGGTACGAGCACATCCTGCCCATTTGCAGAGCAAGCTATCACCCTGGTCAATCCATATTTAGGCAATTCAATTCAAAGTGGATTTCCAACAACAGAGAGATTAGAGGCATCCCTCGGATGCATTATGGCTCATGTAGTAATTTGGAAAATACTTTGTACATCCACTGATAATTGACTCCAAAGGAGCTGTTAGGCTTTTATCAGTTAAACACATCCTTTTGATATGCAGGGTAAATTTGAAAAGCAAAATATTTGCTGAATAATTTACTACGCCAGACTAAGTGCAACACAGGCATCTAAGGGGGCTGGGGTAGACTTTATAGTGCATTATATTGCTATGAGTTTGTGGGTGCCTGACACCTATAATCCTAGGAAGTGTTAAAATATAAAGCCAGGCTAGCTCCCTGCGTTGAGGTAATCGCCTGGGTGATGGGCCATTAAGAGAGCAAAGGAAAGGGGGCTCTGGGACAGACTGGAAATGGAGTGGGGTCCTCCTCCAATTTTTAGATAGTTGGTAGGACAAAACCTGGGAGGGGGAGCAGAGTTGGCTGTGATGCAACCTAGAGAGAAAGCTGCAGACTGGAAAGTCAGAGAGGCAGAGCGTGGTGTTTGATTTCTGTTTGAATCCAAGGCTACAACCATGAAACAAGACCCTCCCGGGATGAACCCCTCCATCATAGGCTCAGGTTGTATATATGTGTAAATACACCAGTGTTTTTCAACCTTTTTTGGGCAAAGGCACACTTGTTTTCATGAAAAAAATCACGCGGCACACCACCATTAGAAAATGTTAAAAAATTTAACTCTGTGCCTATATTGACTATATATAAAGTAATTCTCTTGAATAGGAATCAAATAAACACAAAGAA